AGAGTCACTCTATACATGCCCGGTTTCTCACATTATTTGCTTAAAAATATAGTTCTGGTCACTGTCAGAAAAAGGATGCTGAGCTCGATGGGGCTTTGGTCTAACCAAAGACCATAATTCTTATGTTTATAATTATTATCCTCATCCTCATGATTATTATGTAGTGCCTAATGGCTAATCAAGAATGATACCTAGGCAAGGCACAAGCAGAGAACAGTGCCTCTTTCCCAGAACAGCTTATGCCGGTAAAATATGACTGCTGTAGCAGTACACAATTGATGGCAACATTGCATTAAAACATTGCAAAGCTTTCCCTCTCTATAGCCTGACTGGTGCACCACAGAAAACATTTTGCTCTGTAATCACTGCAGTATGGTACTAATGAGCTTGTTAGGATTTGTGTGCTTTACTGCACAGTTTGCATACTTTGTGTACTTGGGATACTTTGATGTTTTCTAGCTGTGCCAGTGGTATTTGCATTCTGATTGCTTAACAAAACAATGCTGCACATTTAAGGAAGGTCATAATGCAAATACAATACATGGCAACAATAATAATATCCTGCGTCCCTACAAATCCCAATGCATGTGATGTCATGCATTCAGACGTGAATGAACTGGACAATGTGAAGCTACAGGCATCAGTTTATACATAAATTCTGTATACATGTGTTTACCAACATTTTTTAAACAGCTCAAGGAGTTAGGGGAAGAAGGTTTTGTCTGTAAGAAGAAAGGGATTGTGGTTAACACACTGGATTGAGACTTAGTCCACACAGGTTCAACTCGGGCATTTTGCTGGATTTCCTATGGGACCCTGGCCAGTGATTTGGGCCTTGAATCCCAAAGGTGTTTAGTGACGTATCCCACTGATTTCCTTTAGAGACAGGCATCTTTTAGGATCTGGCCCCGTGACTCCTCAGCAAGGATAACGATACTTTCACATTTCACAAATATGCTATGAGGAGAGCTTTGCTCCTTAAAGATTACCAGGCACTCAGGAAATGGACCCTAAAGTCAACTCTCACAAAATAGTCTAAGTGAAGTGCCACTTCCCAGACTAGCAAGTTATCTTTTCACTGGGACACAAGCTCCCCATACGCATGGCTGCCAACTTTTAAACCCAATAGACTGCATATCAGATGGGACGGCCCTTATCACGAATGACGTATTTGCTTTCTAACCTGGTGGAGCCAGATGGGCAGCCTCCGGCCAGCAAGATGCTCTTCTGCCTGCCATGTTCTTCTCCTCCTCTGCCATTTCCCTGTCACTGTGCAACACGTCACTTCTTCCCAGTGGCCACATCTCCCTAGTGTGGGGAAGAAAAAAGAAACACCTCAGAGACAGAGTCCCTCTCTCTCTACCTTTGATGATCCTTATTAAAACCTCCAGGGAGCAACCTGAAGAGTGGAAAACACAGATTTCCCAAGGCCAAGATGGGTATAAACAAATGTGACAACTCGCATTCCTTGCTTGGGAGTCTTGGTTTTAAACTATGGGGGACATAAACTACAGCAGGACTGGGAAAGGTTTACACAGTTTATTGATACAAGGGATGCATCCTATATGGGGCAGCTGAGAGCACTAGAGGTGTTTATGCCAGATCTAAACCCAGCACTCACACCTGTGTACATTGGCCAGTGTACTGGCAGGCAGGATGAATTGCAGGAAGACTTAGCTGTCTGTCCCGCAATAACTACGTGTTAAGAAATGGACTCTACCAAAAATCAATACTGCTGAAATCCAGGCTCCAGTTCTGGGCTACTGAGTGACTCTTACCTAGACGTGCAGCATCCCCTACATGGGTCCTGGTTTCTTGTGGGAAATTCAGAATGTCCTGCAGGTTTCCTGACTTTTCGGTTCACAATCACTGTCCACAGCCATGGTTCCCAGCTATGCAGCGTCAGCCTGGCTGGCAGAACTGGATCCCGCACACTGCTCCCTGTTAGATGGAGTTGGTAAATGGCCCAGGTGACCTCAACAAGGTATTAGTTCAGTAGTTGTGAGCTAACTCAACGAAGCGCTTTATTTTATGAATGGTCTGTAATGTTTTAAGTAATCAAACATCTGTAACTCTGTCAGTCAGTCTGTTTCTGCAGGTAGTAAACCGTTCAATGAGTTCCAGAAATATTTTTGCAGTAAAATCCACTAGTACTTTTATTCTGCAGTCCAGTGTGACAAGACAATGTGCATGGTCAGCAATAACTCTTTACAACAGTTAATCCATCATATGCTGTTGATATTCTGTTTATTACTGACTATTTATAGTAACTTCTTTGCCCTTGATAGGGCATGCTCCATTTTAGCAAATAGATGCACGTGTGGTTTTTTTAACAGATCTGGTGGAAAGTTTTTCTCCGAGATCATTTTTTCTCACAAGTCTGCCTATTTGTTCAAAGCAGCGATACAAATCCATCTGAACAAACAGGAATACAACCTGAGTGCTGGAAATTTGAGGGGGAATTAGGGTTTCAACAGTCATCAAAAATTTTGAAGAACTGGAAAATCTTTCCCTGTTTTACCTCAGTATGTCCTAGAGTGTGCTTAACTGGACCACATTTACCAAAAAAAAAAAAAAAAAAAAAAAAAATCACTGATGGACAGCAATTTTGGTGCAGGCATAGGCACAAGTAGATAAGATGACCAGAAAGAATCAAATGACAAGGTTGGGCTGTTTTCAGTTTCAGGAACACAAAGCTGACTTAAGCTGCTATGTCTCAGATTTCAGTTGAGTTGGATCACTGGAAACGCATTGCGTAGCTTTGTATTACTTAGAAGTATGGAGAAGAGGAAATTGTGCTATTTTCTACACTTTTGAAGACAAACAAAGAACTGGGTCAATGCCTTAATCACAGGAGTGCTTGTATTGTTTTCCTTATCCCTTTTCTCGTGCAGTGGGCATTTGATAAAGTTGCATTCCATTATTAAGTAATTTGAATGGAAATCAAATAGCAAGGAAAAGGAAAGATAAGATTTTCTGTCAGTCCAAAATGTTTCTTTCATACCAATTAATCTGATCCTAGACAAATATTTCTATAATGTCAGAGCAATAAGACTGTATAAACTATTTTCATTATTTTCTTTTTAAGTCAGCTGTTCTTTAGATCAATTTCTAATAAAGAGCAAGCAGAGAAAATAATTTTCTACCTCATTTCGATCCTGATCCATCACCCATCAAAGTCAATAGAAATCCTTTCGCTAGATTCACTGGTGTCAGAGTAGAGCTTTCCAAAGTTTTGCAGCTAGGCATTGGGCCATTCAGGTGAACTACTGGGGAGGTAGGTACGCTACAGTTGAAAACACAAGATGCTGCTTGTGTTTCCTTTGCTTTGATGCAAAGGAAATTTGATCACTTTTTCACCATTCCCTCTCTTCTTCCACAGTTCTTTATCTCCCCACTCTGTCACTGCATGGCCCTCATCCACTGTCCTCCCTAGGCCCACTGGTCCCCTTCCCCCTACCTCAGCTCCCCCAGAAATAAGTTCTTGGCAGGGTTCTGCATTATGCTGGGGAGAGATGTGCCAGCAGCAGACCGAGAAGGAAGTAAGCATGCCAGCCACCTCCCATCTCTTCTCTTCCCCACCGCTGGTGGGTGGCACTGGGGAGCCATTTAGGCAGCACCATCCCAGCTCTGGTGAAAAGGATAGAGTGGACAGGAGTGGAAACAGAGCCAGAAGTTCAGGGAGTCTGGGCAGTACCAAGCATGGCTAGGCTGGGCGCCCAGGTACCAGATCATTTGGTATTGTTCAGTATCATATGCATTTACAACAGAAATGCTACTATGGTAGCAATGCCCCTCACTCACTGTATGTTCTTCCAGCTGTATCCTCATTATATGTAAATCAGTGTATTCTGGTAACTCTGGTGAAGCCATACTATCTACACTGCTTCTCAATCCAGCTCATAATTTTTAAGTAGAAGGGAGCACTGAGCATGTAGGCTGACCTCCAAGCTGGTGCAGAATGTACAGTTCCATCCACAGGCTCCTGCAGTAAGGGGAACTACTCTTCCCTCCAAATTCAGGAATGATACTAAACACCATTTCTAGTGGTTGAGAAGGGAAACTAGCGCAAAAAAAGATCAGCTTTTACTCTGAGTTACACTGCAGTAAATTTGGAGTAGGGTCAATAACAAATATCAGTTGGTGGATCTTAGGAATACCTGACATGTCTGGCCAACATCATGTTCCTGGGCAACAGCGGGGTTTAGGTTTAAGGACAGAAAAAAGGACAGTTTTCAACTTTCTGTGGAGTGTAAAATAGCTGTGACATGCCTGACAAAGAATAGTTTGTGTTAGCAAAATTGCTTTCACATTTTTAATGAAAAAACTTGAAAGCAGATTCCTTCTGGTTCAGACAAACATTAATCAGTAGAAGCAGGTACTTGTAAATAAATTAACTGATGCCATACCCTCGTCTACACCTTTTTCTCTTCACAAGCAGAGAAAACACAATATACCTCAGGGAAAATGGTCTTATTTGGTGTTAGAATCTAAAGAGGTCCTTGGGAAGAAATAAATTCAAATCAGAAGTAAAATAAAATGCTTGTCTCTAATGAAAAGAGGGAGACTGGTTGGTTTGTGATTCTTAGCATCCTCAAAATTGAGGTCACTATTGTGAAGGGGATCAGTCAGTTTCTAATCTATTTCTTTAGTGCAGTACTACCAATTCATCAGAAATGTATAGGGGAAAGTCCTACAGAGCTTGAGGCTTGGGCAGAATTCATTATTCAGTACCCAACTTTCTCTTCATGAGATGCATATTTAGTGCAGCAGCTATATTTTTATCCACCAAAGATAGCAAGTCCATATATATCCTTAAGGGAATCATGAAGTATGTCCTAATTTACTTTTAAAGCTATTACTGTAAACTATCAAAGCAATGCAAAGATTTACAAGCATAGCAGGTAAAGTCTGCTTACTGATCCCATAAATCACACCTGTAAAATCCCTTCCCCAAGCAATGTTTAATGTACAAAGTACATATATTTAGTCCAAGGAAAAATTAATTATTTAACCTGATGATTTTTGCTGTCTTGGTGAATGCCAGCCTTGATTTCTTCCTGTAGGTTTTATTTTCTTCTTCACATGAATCTTAAAATACAGCACATAAGGCAGCAAACAGACACTGCTCCCAGCAGTGTGGGCTCAGAGACTGGCCATTTCATGCTGGGCTACCCCTGGCTGCGTAGTCGCAGGTAGCTCCTCTATGGAAACAATAAAATATTACATTATATGGCTGGAGGAAGTGGATGCAAGAAAGGAGGGAGACTGAGAACACATTTTCATTGCAGTATTCTGTCTGTCTACTGCAGTAGTTTGTATTAGGTATGACTGTGGATGAAAGGATTCCATTGGATGTTCCTTTACTGGTATTGTCTCTCTCCACCCTTTAATAGAGGGCATAAAGATTTCAGTTTTAGTTAAGAAAGGAATTATGATCATTGGCTAATAAGTCAGTCACGCTTCTTGAATAATGGGAGGGTAAGAGGCAAAAGAGGATTTTGGAGAGAGAATAAAACATCCCTCATAAACGTCCAAGACTCTTAGTGTTTCAGTCTGTATTCCCTTTAGGACATAAAGTTCCATCTAGCTATTTCACAGTCTCTGTCTTTCCATCATCACCGTGTTTTTCACATGCAAAATGAAAGAATGGATTTGAAGCTTTACTGTACAACCAGAGTTGCTCTTCATGTATGTGCTTATTTTTTGTAGAAAAAAATGCAGTTCTGTTAAACTGTTTTAACAATGAGCGTAATAGTCTGCTTAAAAAAAAATTAGTTTTCCACATGCATTTCCACTGAATTAAGAAGGGAGAATGACAGAATCACATCACAGAGTCATAGAAATGTTGTTTGGAAGGGACATCAGAGGAACACGTTGTCCAGCCTCCTCCTCAAAGCGTTAGTATCTCCAGCACTGGGTTATGTCAGCCATGGGTTTGTCTAGCCAGGTCTTGAAAACTTCCAGGTGTGTCCACATCATCCGTGGGCAACCTGTTCCAGTGCTGCACCATGCTCCTGGTGAAGTTTCTCCTGATGTCCAACCTGAACCTCCCAACCCACGATTCGTGGCTATTGCCTCTTGTTGTGCCATCTGCCACAGCTGCGGAGGGTTTGGCTCTGCATTTTTCTGTCTGTCCTTCAGAAAGGTGTAGGCTGCTATTAGGTTGCTCCTTAACCTTCTCTTTGTCAGACTATGCTGCCTCCACCTCTCTTCATGGGGCATGTGCTGTAGGCCTGTGAATACCTCTTCTGTCTTCTAAAATCAAGATAATTCTCAACGTTTTGTTGAGAACACTGGCAAAACTGCCAAAACTTGGCTAAAGTAAACATCTGAGATGAGACATAAAGGTTTAACATCAGGGCCTGTACAGTATACTGAAATATCCGAAGAGGTCTAATTTAATGAGTCTAGCCTTACCATGTTTTAGTGAACACTTAAAATTAGATTGTCTGCTTGTCTTATGGGACGTGGTCGTACAACACAGAAGGTTGTCGGCTGAACAAAAAGCAAGAAAGAAACTATGGCAGATACATAAAATGTTCAGATCAACACAAAAATCAAGCCTCTGTCCCAGGAGGACATTATGAGAAGACTTCAGTTTTATCAGCTTGTAGATAGCATCATGGAAGCCACTGGGAACATGATAGCAATTCTACAACTGTTTAATTTAGCAGACAATAAATGAAGTGTTATTTGGTTCCCTTTACAAGTGGAAGGGGGAAAACTTAAAACGGAGCTTGCTACAAAGTATGCTCTTTCTGTAATTTCACAGCAGGACAATCAGAGACCACTTAAAACCACAAAGTTCTGGAAAACAGTGCTTCTAAAGCACATATCACTCGCTGGGGCCTTATTATACTGAAGGTAACGTAAAACTGTAAACAGCATATGCTAAGCTTCTGTATTGTACAACAAATTCTGTGTTGTGTATAGTCTTCTGTTTCAGAAAATGGCTGCAAGAAGTTCAGCTGTAATCAGCAAGGTATAAAATTCCTGCAGATTCCAAAAAATGATGAACCCAACCCAAAAGTTGCCTGTACTCAAGACAAGGCATCCCATGGGGTCTTTCACATTACAACTGGAACTTTAACACATACAAAAATCAGACACATGCTTGAGTTTTGACAATGAAGCTTGCACATTCAAAACTTAGATACTCCAAATTTCCATACAACCCTGGTGAGGCTATCTAAGCAACTGTAGTCATAAACAAAAGACTGGTAAACATTAATTCTGATCCAGTAAGTACATAAGTATTTTGCACAAAATATATTGGAAGAGATCAAGAGACTTCCATGTGATATAATTTCTTATTACGCTATGGGAGACGTGGGTCTAATCCAGGTAACGAACAGAACTGCCTCTGAGTTTCCCCCTCCCATATAACCATTACAGGATTGAGTAAATATGTGGCATTACTAATCCCATGCTAATACTCTGAGCACAGGTAAGTGACAAGTGGTTTTGGTAGCTAACAACCATACTGAATACTGAATTCGGCTTAGCATAAGGAACCGAATGTTTCTCAGCATTTAGGAACGGCTTGTTTAGCTTGCTGGCTTTCATGAGTCTATTTATTGTGAGCATAGATGCCTAACTCTGAATATGGATTCTGCTAAAAGTTAAATACCACAGCTATTATGATTAGTCCACCCCCTTCATGTATTCCCTCACCAGTTTTAGGGAAAACACTTCATGTACCCCCAATTACCACAGAAAAAAGTCAGACACACATATGATCAGAGCAATAATGGATTTCTTTTCCTTCTCCAAGCAGGATCAACAGAAGGCCGCCCAACAGGTACCCCTAAACAGCTAGTTAAATTATACATTTCTGCTTATATTCCCTTTTTCTCCCCTTTTTGCTTCCCAAGTTCTTCCCTTTACCACTCTCATCCACTCCCAAATAAACAATCTGTCCCTATTTATTCTTTCCTGTTGTCCCTAATTTTGGTACTTTATAGCTCTTCAGTATTTGTGATATGGCTGCACTGGTAAATGCCAGTTAAATGGCATTTAATGGTTAAATGGCCTCAAGTTGCACCAGGGGAGGTTTAGATTGGACATGAGGAAAAATTTATTTACTGAAAGAGTGGTTAAACATTGGAACAGGCTGCCCAGGGAAGTGGTTGAGTCACCATCCCTGGAAGTATTTAAAAGACGTGTAGATAAGGCGCTTAGGGACATGGTTTAGTGGGCATGGTGGTGTTGGGTTGATGGTTGGACTCGATGATCTTGGAGGTCTCTTCCAACCTTAATGATTCTATGATTCTATGGTAATTTCTACCTCCATCAGCAATTCCTTTAAGCTAGTGACTCTCTTTTGTTATCAACAATATTTCTCATTTCGACTACTTCTTATGTTGCTATCTTGTTAGTGTAGCCACAAGTCAGGGTTAGATGTCTGCATATATATTACCCCCTTTTTGCTCTCTGTAGTATCTTATAAATTCTCATGTTATTTTGTTAGTGTAGCTGCATGCCAGGGCTGGCCACCCTAACAAGAGTGCTAGGCTTGTCTGTGTTGTGAATCTAGTACATTTCACATACATTCCTTACTGCAGTGGAAGATTAATTCCTGTTACACAAGCAGTACTCTGGGAGTGCTCAGTTATTATCTCTTGTTGCTGGTTAGCACACCAGGAATATTGCTTCCTTTGTACTAATTTTTAGACGTGAGATGTTGGTGCACACATCTTCAGAAAGTTTCTGACGGAGATAGCAAGGTTATATCACCGCAAGCTGCTGTGATGCATTGAAATGAAGTTAAAGTTACTTTAAGCTAAGTAACTTAATTCCATATTAATTCATATATAGCAGAAGATCATATTCAAAGGCCCATTGACTTTGCTTCTCTTCCAGATTTGCCCAGATTGACAAAAAAGCTCTGAGGTTAGCCTGGGGAGTTAAAAAAACATTAACCAAGACCTGTATTTGGCTGCAAATAATCAGTTTCTTGTTTCTTTTTTTATTATTATTATTTTAATAATAATAGAAAAATATTAGCGGCTGTCTCTGTCATCATTGAACTATCTCTGCTTGGAAAACTACTGCTGCTGGCTTTGGCTCCTCACAATTGCCTGTATGCTTGCATTCATTCAAGCCTTGGGACTCTGTCACCCTAAAATGTCTCCCCTGAATGCTGGAATGCCCTTCAGAAATCAGTCCTGATGCCTAGCTCCATGAGGAGGACTCCACCTAAATTACATGGATCACTGGTAGAATACAGATATCTCTATCATACATATACATATATTTTCCGGTAGCAGATGACTCATGTAAATGGCTTGAATTATTCCATGTGAATTCAGCTAATTCAGCCCAGATGGTGAATTCTTAAGAGTCTTGTCTTCAAGGACGGAGAGCTTCTGAACAGATCGTACATGACAATGGAAATCAATTCATGTTCAAAGAGTTTCTATTATTTGCCAAAAGAAATTATATCAAACATGTCACATCAGCTTTTTACTGTCCTGCCACAAACGAGTTGACTGAAAGATCTACCCAGACATTTCAAGCAAGCTCTACCGGTGGTAAAGCTCTCCTGGAGATAGCTTGTACTACCTTGTGGTTTGAGCTGTCTCTCTTCTGTAGAAAAGCAGTAGATAATTAGACAAATTATGTCTCAGAAGTGTTTTTATAGAACATAATTTAAGGGTTTTAACATCTGATTAGCAGAGTGAGCAGCAATGTGTTCAACTAGCTAAACAACTGCAGGAAACTGAGTATTGTCGTTTACTGGTCCACTCTCTTGTATACTTTTCTCATGCAGAAGGTACATAAAATATGTGGTTATGTTATTTGGATACTTTCTTTTTTGTAAAACAAAAAATTCCGTGTTTCTATTCTTTGTACAGTATATCAAGTATGCTAAGGTATGTGTTGCTATTGTAAGTAACATTGGTTGATGAACCTACTGCAAATATATTATGTGAAAAATTTATTAGGGGTTTTTTTTGCTCATAATTGAGCTTCTGAATTGTTCAGTCTGACCCTTAATATATGTGACTTCAAAGCGACAACTCATATGCTTAGATTTTGACATACTTTTGCTGAACTGCAGTTTTCTGTGACTACATCATTCATGATGAGTGTAAAAATCATAATAACATCATGAATGAATGAGTGAATGAACAAATGGTACTGTTCCAGTAAATTAAAAATATACAGTGCCTCTCATTATGTCTACATGTCCTCTTGAAGGACACCTACTTTTATGGATAAAAATTTGAGCACAAACTTAGCCAAACTGAATAAAGTAGTTGCGAGGGGGGGAAGGGGGGTGGAATTGTGAATGCTCTTTTGTTGTATTTGATTGTCTCCAATAGAAAAATCTGGTGACATTTTATAGATGACATGATAGATCTCTTGTCTGAAACAAATGTAAGATGAAATTTCCTCTGAAGATGAACCTATGACCAAAGATCTTCAATAGCAGAAGAGGAGCCTGAATGCTCTGATGAACTAGGTCTGGTTGTTTTGAGGTGAGTCTAGCAGATTTACATTTATTCCTCAGGATCTGCATCATCTTGAGAAACTGGGGCCACTGAAACCAGCCAAATTGTCTGAGACCTTCTGAACTATCAAAAAACAATAGTAAAAAAATGCAGTATCTTTTAATCTTGGATTTTCAAGCTCAGCATTCAGTATGTATTAGTAAAAATATTAGTTAGAAAATTTATAATTAAAGTAGTCATTTAAACCATCAATCTTGCCATTGTTCATATGACTATGGACATTAGCTGAACCTGTCTGGACATTACTTTAGTTGCTGAACCACAATGTTTAATGGGGAAGGGAAGGGATTCCACTGACTGACTAGAGGGAGAATTCATGTAACATATACTGTTCTAAGAGCTTATCTGAAATTGTCATGAAGTGTATTTTAACATTAACTGTATAAATACAGTTCAGTGAATGGTGTATGCACAAAAGTAGAGTTTTACTGATTATAAGTTATGAATTGAAGTACCTGCATTTATGATGATTCCAATATTATATATTGCATCACTTATAGTAAAAATGAAAAGGAAGCATCTAACCCTGAGACATCAAACTAATTAAAAGTAAATAAAACCACAGTTATACATGATTTAATTCTTTCAGGCAGTCAAAAGCTCCATCCAACTGTAGCACTACGTCATCACTAAAACAAGATACCGAGAGGCATAAGTCATGACACACTCCTCTGCAAAGACCTCTTCATGCTGGCACTTCCTGCAATGGGAGGGCACGGGATAATGAGCTTGCTCAAACTCACTATGGCACTCTAACGATCAGATTAATTTCCATGGGGATGATTTTACTTCTCATCACTTTTTCTCAAGGGATATGTACACTTACAGTATTTTTGGGAAGTCAATCCAACAAGATCTAGGCCTTGGTTAGCAAAGAGAAGTAAGTTCAGAAGAAGGAGGAATCAAGTGGGTATCTCAGGCTGTATCTGCACCGTGGGATATGGGAACCCTGCCCAGCCCTTGCACTGTGAGGGATGACCTGCAGGCTTTCTGACTCCATGCCAGGATGAGACCTGAGCATATATTCCCTGCATTTGAACACCTTGATTTCTGCAGGGGCTGGCCAGGAGGGAGCTGCCAAGTGCCCTGCTGGGTACTGGACTCGAACCATCAGGGATCTCAATGGCACATCAGGGTCATCTGCCCTGAAAGATGAATAGTTGTTTCCTTCCCATTTGTGGGCTCCCTTCCAGCAAGGTTTTTAAGTATATGAATACATTCCTCCCTATTCTGAAAAGCCTATGAACATCAAATAGCTGTGGATTGCTGAACTGGTTTTCTGTATAAACATCCTCCATCCTTTTGTCAGCTGTGACAATGTAGCATTCCCTCAAAGGGAAGGAAGATAGTGTCCCATAGAATCATGGAATCATATCATAGAATCATAGAATGGTTTGGGTTGGAAGGCAACTTAAAGATCATCTAGTTCCAACCCCCCTGCTGTGGCCAGGGACACCTTCCACTAGACCAGGTTGCTCAAAGCCCCATCCAACCTGGCCTTGAACACTTCCAGGGCTGGGGCATCCACAACTTCTCCAGGCAACCTGTTCCAGTGCCTCACCACCCTCAGAGTGAAGAATTTCCTCCTTCCCATGTAGGGGGGAGGAACTAAGGAATGTTATCTGGTTCATAGTGGAACGTTTATAACATGATTTTGATTGGTTTGATTACAAATTGTCAAAAGATTGGATTAAATGGCTTGGGTCTCTTTGTTTTCTTGATTTAAACAATTTGTTTGCTTGTTTTTTAGTGGAAAATACATGTTAAATAATCACCTATTTCTGTAGACAAAAATACTTGTCAAAACTTCATTATTTTAAGGAAAAGTTGAGAAAAAACTAAAGCATGGTATTTAATAAAAATATAATATTTAAAAATATTCTTTTAGAGAAAAACAAAACCAGACAATACTGATCACCTCTGCTGAGATGTGATTCTTGGTGAGAATATGAAGTTCTTTTTTTGTAAGCATATTTATACTGATAATATTTGAACACGGCTCATTTCGTAAAAGCAAACATTGAAATCAATCATTAAAACTCAGTCTCTCTCACCAAAACCCATGTCTGGAAAATTATAATCTACTGTAGGATAATTTTGCAGACAGTATATAATGTAAGGAATGTCATTCTTGTTACAATAACTCTTTATAGGAGTATTTTAAAGACAGTTACTTCTGTCAGTAGTTACTCTGTCCCCTTTCACTACCAGGTAAGTCAGGTTCAGAAATATAAAAAATGGCATATATACGTAACTATTCATCTTGCAGTTGCAACAGAAGTGGTACATAGCAGCTAGTTTATACTCTTTTGTAGTGGAAATTGATGGAAAGTACATTTAATGTGGATAATTAGATTGATTT